ACATCTTCATGTCCAGTGTTACCGATGGTTAGACCATGGGTAGAGGGACTGTGGTTAGACATGGACAAACTACGTAACGATAATGTGTTTGTAAACCAACTAGCTTTGTAGATTGAATAAACATCTAGGGGATTCACATTTTCGTTTACTCAAACTGTGTTTGACAGGCATTTTGCATGCATTAGCCACCATTTTAAACTCGTGATTTTCACTGGTCGCGGCACGTTTCGACCGAAAATAACAACATTTATACATCAAAAACCCAACCAGATGAGTGTGATCGCTAGCGTACGTAGTCATGCCCCCGTGGATATGTATTTGGAACCACAGCTTAATCTCCAAACATCGTAAATGGCACATTTCACGGATCTCCCACCACGATGTTAGCGGCTTGGTTCGGATTAGCATACTAATACGGTGGCCATCTTGACCCTTATTTATACGGTGTCATTGCCCAGAAACGTGTTTACAATGAGCCAAACGATCCATACCAAACATAAATACTCCGTACATCGCCGAGGACACAGTACCTCAATACACCTCGAGACACCTAGATGAACGTGTGAACGTTGTTGCTCTAAATGATGGCGGTCTACTGTGGGGTGGGATTTTTCAGGCTGGAGGATGCGTATGTACTTGAACGGTTTACGCCCTCTGAAAAAGGTCTAGTCTGTAAATACGAGACAAATGTACAGTAAAACACATCACAAAAGTACATTACAATCACACTATACATGTAAATTTACTGATGAAATATGCGCATACATCTCAGATGACAATCATTATGTTGACAATGAAACCCGAATCTGGATATCATTGAATTTAGCTAGAGTAATACCCTGCAATATGATATCAATGTGCTTCATCCCTTCCAAAACAGCCTAAAATCAGAATATAGAAATTGTTTTCACCTAATTTTGCGATGAATTTCGTTATAAATTATTTTGTGCATGACGAACCGTTTATGGGTTCGTTCTCATCAGATCGCGAATTATTAAGATTGAAGAACTCTTTTTTCTGATTTTCAAAGACTATTTTCAACAGGAGATTCATCAAACGTATCCTATTTGGCGGCACATTTTCATTAAATTGACGTTCGCGACCCGGGTTGGCACTAAAACCAATGGTTAAACAACCTGGTTGCGGTAAAACAACGCCATCTGGCGATTGAAAAAAAAAACAGTTGAAAAATCAGGACTGGGCTGTACATTATTATAACCATGAATGTAAATATGCTAGTACGTAGAAATAATTATTATTGCATTCACATCTTTGTGAAAATATAAAAACCAATACTATTCCGGGATTCCCACGCAAAAAGCAATATACACTGTAGACCATCTTGCCCTCAACTTGATGTAGCCTGAGGAGGTCACATGAGTTGCGCCCTCCTCATGAGTTGCGCCGTTCGGCCGGAGAAGGCCCTACTCACGCCTACATGTCACGCCAGCCCTCAATGGTGAACGTGATGTTTACCGGATGCTGGTTAGCTCCATTCATGATGTCTTTGCATGCGATGGCTTCTTCCGAGTCTTCGAATAGCGTCTTTTGCACACGTCTTCATTTTTTCTTGCGCCAATGAGAAACACGCAGATAATAATATAAGTCCACTTATAATAACACAGGCTATACAAAATGCTCGAAGATTACTATAATTGGTGGCATTGTCGCCATCAACGGCTTTTCTAGAAAGCGTCAAGTCTCCGAACCCGATTGTTGTAAATGTTACAACCCAAAAATACAATGAGTCAACAAAGTTCCAATCGTCTTCTATGAAGTACGTGACTACAGTACAGATTGCCATGTATAATAAAAACATGAAAATTAATAACCCTAGTGCTTTTTGTCGGGCAGGCATCTCATGAAACTTCTGATTGAATGAGATTCTCCTAGCATATCGTGTGGGATTACCATTTGCCTCCTTTGTATGTACGTCGTTACACACAGTCGGAGGATTGTGCACTGAGATTTTATTTTCGTCCGGTCTCCTAAACTCCGCCAAGCTACCTACGTGACCCGGCGATTCTTGTACACTCGTTTCATCTTGTTGCGCTTCCTGCGTTGTCATTTCATCGCGCTCCGTTTCTCGCGTTATCATTTCATGGCGCTGCGTTTCTTGCGTCATCGTTTTCCTGTGTTTCGGTTCTCGCGTTATCGTTTCATCCCGTTGCGTTTGAGTGCCCTTTTCATTTAGCTGTGTATCCGTTTTTGCGTCGTTTTTCAGCCATACGTGTCTTCCCGTTTCACTTGTTTGCATTTCTTGCATATTAGGTTCGTTTTCCAACGATTCGTGGGTAGTTGTGTTGTTCTGTTCACCAACATTATTATAATTGCTACAATAATTGGTGCCCGAAGTTCTAAAATGGTCATTATCGGTGTTTTCGTGTTTGTTAAAAACCATGGCCTTATTGTCGTATCCCATCGCGCTTAGATCTATATTACTACGTGAGCAGCCAAAGTCAACACAACATTGGCTGTTGTGATGTAGGCGTTCAAGTGATTGGTTCGTCGCGTGATCGATGCCATCACATGATTGGCTAGTATTGCGAAGGTCGTCACACGTGCGAATATCATCTTGTGTGTTTTCATGCGATTGGATTGTGTGATGTGTGGTTTCACATGATTGGCCATTGTGATGTTCACCATGGGCTGCGAAATGACACTGTGATCGTCGTTTTGTCCGCTGTTTGTATGTAAATCGATGCGCTGTTCGGCGTATCTTTCTACTGGCTTTCTCGACTCGTTCAGCCAGAACATTTCCACAAGTTGACAATAAAAGTAAAAATAATGGTATCCCAAATATTGCATAGAAGGTACAAAATAGACGTCCTTCCCATGTAACTGGAGTAATATGCCCATAACCTGCAAGGAAGAGATAAAAACAACACGTGACACTTTTTTGTAACCAAATCGGCTGCATATTTTCGAATTTGAAAGGTTTTCTTTTTCTTTTCAATTCGATACATCTTTAATAAGTCTGCAAACATTACGACGGTAAAATTGATAATAAAAAATAAAATTGATTGTCTAGTGACATTTAACGACGGGAGTAGTGAGAAAGCATCAATAACAAAGAACTCACACTGTGCGTATTTTGATTACGTTAACACTTATCTCGTATTCTACGCCCATCACGGCGCCACCTATACGGTCACGTGATCTCACTCCCCTCCGGCGTGACGCGTACACGGATGAACTTTTTATTAATAATTTGTTCCGGATATTAGTAGTTTATTATTCCCTATTATAATATTTATTACAGGTATCATGTTTTTGTGTCCATTTTACAGAAATATGTGATGGCCGGGTCTAATCAGTAACTTAAATATTAGATCGAAATTCACCAGTTATTGTTAATTATAATTTTTACTTGTATGTACACATAATTAAATATCTATTTAAATTTACATGGATAATTATACTATATTATACTAAAGTCAAAAAACATTTTAGAACAAACCATGAGATAAAGTACAATGCCAACTATAGTTTGACTAGTTTTGAGAATATATATCTTTTTTTGTTCATTATGATACATGACACCACCTATAATGCCACGTGATCTTAGTCCCCTCTGGCGTGCCACGTACACGGATGAACTTGTTATTAATAATTTGTTCCAAATAATATTAGTTTATTATTCCCTATTATAATATTTATTACAGGTCGCGATATCGTTATCAAGGACATTTAAATGAAATCAGCATATACGTACTATTTATAATAATCCTCGTCCAGTCTCCGCCGACAAAACAATGCTCCAGACCAAACATAAGGCGCCACGCAGCGACTGTGTGACGCTGACGTGGATGAATGTACAAAATGTCTTTAATATTGACAGAAATGTGTAATTGTTCCTCATTTATTAAGATACAATAAATTAGGAAAATGCATTTTTCTAACTACCACATATCAGAACAACATCGACGACGTGAAAGGCGTTCCTTACACCTGATTACGTCACATGTGCGTCTTGTCGCTAGGGGGCACGACTTATGGGAGCGATGTAAGTTGGCGTCATACTCGTATTATCGTTCATAATGCAACAATCGCGGTCACGAAACCGAACACTGTGGCTCAGTGTGGAAGCAATGAATATTAGTAAAGACGGTTTTCACTGAATATTTATTTGGTCAAAAGTTCAAATCGGTCATTCACTCCTATAAATCAAATGACGAAGTCACGTGATGCACCAGCCCGCATATTTATTACACATTATTATTGGAATTGAACATTGACAGTCGGACAATGCGCGGATATCACTCGTATTATGGTATAATGACAGATCAGTGACAATAATCGTTTGACACGTTATAGTCAAAGTCATTACCGAGTTAATTGTAATTCACTTTAGTTTCTGTCAGTTCAACCAACCAAGCAATCAACTTCACCATGTCGATAGACACGCCCCATTATGGATGAAAAAATAAATATTGTTACGACCCGCTGGTAATGAAAACGTTCATGGGTTGTTTTTATTGATCACGCGTGAATATTGATCGTTTTAACGACAATAAATATAGCTATGCCCTGAATATGTTATCGCATCCAGTCTTCTAAAACGTTCGTATAATAATTTTTCTACATATATCGTAGTCGCTAATATGCCTCTGTAGTCACTATACATCACAACCACGTTTTCATTCTGACCAGCGGATGCTCTCATTTTACTATGTGAAGTGTTCATTATATATTTTGAAAAACTCGGGCAATATGAATCCAGTATTTTAACTGACCAGTTGAAATGTTTGTTTTTACATCTTAATATATTGTATGTCCATTAATTTGCTTTTTGGATGGGCCAGTAAACGGAGCTGTTTGTTGACTAAAAAAATAAATAAATAATTAAAGCGCGGTA